TCTGCAATCGCGCTGGGTCGCCTCTTGGGGATTTGGTGGCACGGCCATCCCCGCCCTCCGCGTCTTCCCACACGGGTCGCTGGCGGCCCTCGTCACCGCTCGCGCGGCTGAGGGTCCGGTCGCCCCTGGCGTCGCTGATGCCCCAGGTTGCGCTGTCTGCTCTTTGCGGGCTGTCTCTCTCGCCCCTGACTACCCGGATGGCGCCCCTATCAACGATCCGATCGCACGGGGGCCAGGCGTCGGGCCTGCTGGGTGGGCCCGGGAAGGTCGAGGGGATCAGAGCCTTCCTCTTCTCCCTCGTCCGCCACCGGGGTTGGGCTGACCGCCGGGCTCGGGCCCCCGGCCGTGTCTGACTCGCTTTTCTTGTCCCCGTCCCCGCCCCAGTCGATCCCATCCGGTTCGCCTTCGCATCTGCCTGCCTGGCTGGTTGGGGCCCTCCCCTCTGCCCGCGGGCCACGTCCCCCGTCTGCACCGTAGCGCGGGGGTTCGCTCTGGGAGCACGGACAGAGGTGTCCTCCTGTACAGGTCCGAGGCTATCTGCTGGGGGGGGCATCGGTTTCGCCTGCTCTGTTCAGCCAGGTTGCTGCTGGGGAATCAACCGCCGATGAGGAGCCCGTGGCTGCCTCGCGTGGGCCCCGGTTGGCCAGGACGGCGATGGTACCGTAGGCCAGGGCGGCCTGGTCAATTCCCATGAGGAATGTCAGCAGTGCGCTGATCCGCTGTCGGAGGGGGCACTGGCCTGTCTGCTCTGTCAGAATGGCTGCGTAGCTGCCCCATTTGTCTTGGTACTTCCCGTTGGATTTCATTAGGTGGTAGACCACTCGGGCCACTGCGGCCCGCCGCCCGCCCCATGGGATGTCGGGGGGGTGACAGTCGTTAGGGATCGACCCCCCGTAGATCATTCCCAGGAAAGGGAGCAGGCGTGCTGCGGGCCAAGACTCCTCGTCGGTTCTGTCCCCTGGGATGCCTGCACCGTGCCGCTGTACGAAATCAGCCCAACATATGTAGACGGAATGGTTCCATTCCAGCAGGTACTTCACCAAGGAGCGAACGGGGCCGTCGGACTCCACCCCAGAGAGCCTGAAGGTGGAGTGGGTTGGTAGGACGGGGCACTCTGGCGGGTCCACGTCGGGGAACACGGATTTGCTGTCGCGTCCGACCTTGACAGGTTCGCTGCTTTCTCCTGCGCCGCTGTCGTGCTCCCTGCCGTCGGGGGTGAGCTCGCCCCGCGTGGCCGATTGCCTTGAGCACGTGTCCTCGGCCACTGCGTTGACGCCAGTGGGGAGAAGTAGACACTGATGTCGTAGCTTTCCTCCTGCACTTCTGCTGTTGCTGCGCGATTGGCGGGGGCGATGGGGCATACCCTGGAGGAGTGCTGGTCCAGGATGCGATCGAGCGTGCCGGGCGCCACGTTCCAGATGTGGATGAGGCACCGTCTGCAGGCCCACCCTGCATTCCACTGCTGCTGGGTCCAGAGCGTGGGCATGGCATCCCATGGCGGTAGCCCTGTCTCGGCGTTGCACGGCGCACCTGGCTCCGGGCTCCACATGAAGCAGCCGAGTGCGGGACTGGTTGCCGACCACACGAGCAGTGGAGACCCCGCACGGCAGGTGTCGCACATGGCGGAGTAGGTCTTCGCACGGTGTGAGTCGGGCCCGAATCTGCCGTCGGACAGCTTGTGGGCTGGGAGGGCGGTGCCGACCGCCTGCGGCCTGTAGACGGGCGGGGTGTCCATGACAAGGTCACGCAGGCAGGAGGGGAACTGCGCTGCGTCCGTCCGCCCGTACCCGATTGGGAGCCGATCCAGGGGGGGAGAGCGCGGGCTCTCTTTTGGTAGCGAGCCTCGTCCAATGTGCGCTTGCACGCCTGTAGGCGCTGCTGGAGCGACTTCTTGTTGCTGAGGTCTTGCACGGCAAGGGGGACCTCGATGCCCCTTTTTTCCAGCGACTTGATCCAGCACTGCTCGCACAGCCACCTACAGTTTTGGCCTTGCAAGTACGCTTGGGAGCGGTTTTGTGCCAGAAGTTCCCTTGTGCCGTCATCCTCCCAAGTGCCTGCCGTGTCTTTGAGCCCCGTGTTCGGGCACCCGTCGCAGTCGAAGCTGCTGACGTGTTGCCTGGTGTGGAACCTGTCGTCACTTACCCTGGGTGGGTTGAATGTCGTACAAGGGGCCGGGGATGCAGGGGAGTCTTCGTCGAGGCGTTTGTTGGACATGGCGATTCCCCCGCCGATGTGTTCCAGATCTGCAATTGAGTCTGGGTAGCCGAGCCAGTCCTCGGTCCCGCTGAGCTCCCTGTGTAGTGTGCAGATGGAACAATTTCCCTCGCCCAGGGATTTGATCTCAGCCGGTTTGACAATCGCTTCCAGGACCCTCCTCATGGGGGCCTCCAGCGTGAACTTGTAGTTCAGCATGCCTGCCCAAGTGGTCGGGCACCCGTGGTTGGTCGCAACCTGGTGGTGGTGGGCGTAGGTGGCGAACGTGCTGATATGCTTGATGGTGTCCTCCATTTCCCGTGGAGTGATGCGAGGCCACTCAGGTCGAAGCCCCAGGCCTCTGCAAACTTGGTCCTGTACTCTTTGTGGGCACTCTGCCAGGGGTAGCAGAGGCCCATGGCTGCTTCGAAAATGTCCCCGGCGGCCTCAGGGTGTGGGAACGGCCATAGCGCCTGGTGGGGGTACGCGAAGCGTCAACAATTACGCCACGATCGGGCTCCCAGAACAACTGAAGCGCCCAGGCCGCTCGAATTCTGTTAAACAAGCGTTCCGCTCGAGACATCCTCGAAATTCCTGCGCGCGGGACGCGCCATCCTCGAGCGGGCACGCAAAAAAACACATGTCCCATATTTGTTGTGAAATGATAGGGTCCCCATGCCTCGTGTTTCATCGTGGATTCTGCTCAAAACGCTCCGCACCCTGTTTTTTCTAAGCAAAACAGCTGTCTGCGGACCCCGTTATTTATCGAAGATCCGAGATAGGGGGCACATGTTCGTCGAGCGGGCACGCGCGAAACGCATTTTCTCGACGAAAAAACTGTCCCTCGTCAGCTATCCACCATACTTCCGCCAGCCCTTCCCAACATGGCACCGGGGACAGGTCTACCAGTTAAAAGAAGACCCTGGGTGCGCGCCATTTCCTGGAACTAACATGAATGCACGGCTTGGAATTGGTCCCAACACGGTATGCGATGATGTGGAACTCAAGATGTGGATGCGGATGGCAAGGTTAATGAATAGGTGGTACATCTTACGAAATTAAGTCCGCTGGCATCTTTGGGGTCCACCAGGCCACCAATGAGAGGTTTTCGAAATATTGTTGTGTCGCCCCTTCCCCATTCCCCCCTCCTCCTCCTCCTCCTCCTCCTCCTACTCCTCCTCCTCCTCCTTATCCTCCTCCTCCTCCTTCTCCTCTTCCGCCTGTTTGTCTATAATCCCCTCCTACTGCACTAGAAAGCCTGTGTACACCACAGAACACACGCGCATCACCGTCCCCGTAGTCCTGAAGATTTCTCTGGATCCCTTACGATCCTGTGGGATGCGCAGGATGGATTCCTTCGGATGCAGCAGGATTCCCATAGGTTCCGTGGGATCCTATAGGACTCCTCAAAACTCCAAAGAACTAATTCCTCAAGATGCCGTGGGATTCCGTCAAAATCCACAAGACATCGTTCCATCCCTGGTGGTTCCGCAGGGTTCATTGAGGACGTAGAACTCCTGAGAGATGCCGTACAATTCGTCCAGATTCCTCTCAGGCGCTTCAGAGAGACGCGTGTAAGACGCCTCTCAGTGGCGCCTGTACGAGGCGCCTGTAAGACGCCTCCCAGAGGCGCTTGCAAGACGCCTTTCAAAGGCGCAGGACGCCACTCAGAGGCGCCTGTAAGAGAGACACGCATGCAAGACGCCTCTCAGAGGCACATGTAAGAAGCCTCTCAGGGGCGCCTGTAAGACGCTTGTAGGGCACCTGTATGAGACTGGTAAGACGCCTGTAAGACGCCGCGCAGAGGTGCCTACAAGAGGCCTCGCGGAAGCGCCTGCAGAACGCCTCGCAGACGGCTCGCAGACGCGCCTACAAGGCGCGTTAAGGCGCCTCGCAAAGGCGCCTGCGAGACGCCTCGCCTAGGCGCTTGTGAGACGCCTGTGACACACCTCTCAGAGGCGCCTGCAAGACGCCTGTAGGACGCCACGCAAAGGCGCCTGCAAGACGCCTGCAGGACGCCACACCGAGGCGCCTGTACGACGCTGTAACACGCATCGCAAAGGCTTGTCAGCCAGGCAGGTTGGAATTAGTGCCTCAGTGGCTGGAAGATGACAAAATGGATGGAATGTGTTCTAGCTGGTTGTAATGTGTCCCCTTGCTGGGCTGGTTCGTACCGGGGGGGAGGCTCAAACCGGCTCTAGTCGAATGCTGCCACTGGGGCTGGACCCAGCTCTGATCAACCTCTGATGGAACCGTACAAAGGCTACGTCCAGCTCTCATATTACCCTAGGAAGGCTGGACCCAGATCAAACGATATCCTACAAATGATCATCCCAACTCTAATCGAATCCTGCCATTAGGGCTTGATCCAGCCCGAATAGAATCTACTAGGGCTCGATCAAGCTCTGATAGAATGCTACAAAGATCTGCGTCCAGCTCTAATAGAATCAGAATCCTACCAGGCCTGGATCCAGCTCGAATTGCATCCTACCAGGGCTCGATCCAGCTCGATTCAAATCCTTCTTTACTAAGGCTGGTTCCAGCACTCATAGAATCCTACGAGAGCTCGATCCAACATACAATCCGACTATGGGCTGGATCCAGTTCTGATGGAATCCTACTAGTCCTCGGTTAAACTCTACGAGGATCCTGCTATGGTCTGGGCTCGATGCAGCCTTACTGCGACCCTACTATGGCCCGGTCCAGCTTCCATAAAAACCTGCGAAGGCTAGGTCCAGCTATCCTACGAGGGCTGGGTCCCATTTGAATGGAATACCGCCACATCCCCGCCAGTCCGGAGCGGGAGTCTACTGTGCCCCCCCGCTGCTTCGAACTGCGGGGGGGGTGCCAGTGGCGGCAGAAAGTGCTCTTTCAACCGGACCGATCGGATCGGAGCGGGCCACGCCTGCGGCCGAGAAGGGGTACACGTCGCCCTTGGCCCCCAGCAGCCCCTCGCCCGTGCGGACCTCGAAATGGAGGGTCGGTGCATCCCCCCTGGACTCGTGGCCCCGCTGCCACGACTCCACGGCCTCCTTGCACGCCCTGCTCACGTGCACCCTGCGAAAGAGACGGGAAACCCTAACCAAACCAAGGAGGATGGGGCAATCTATACTCGGTCAGGGCTTCCTCCCGAGGTCACAATCCCCGTCCGAACCTGGATAGCCCCCTCCTGCTTGATCTGGCTGCCCCAGGGTGCTCAATGGGAACCCTCCTATGCCACTCCGCCTGACTGCCCGTTCCACCACCACCCCACGCGCGCCGAACGCACACACTGATGCGATCCACCTCTCCCATGCTCAGCGCCGCACAGGCTCGTTCTGACCCCTCACGCGATCCAACCCCCCACGCTCTCATTGAGCAGCCCGGAGCAGGGCTCCCTGCCCCCTGACCTCCCAGGATGAGAAGTGGACTCCAGAACTTCCAGGCAGGTAGTCAACGGGCCGAAGAGGTGGTAGCGCTGCATGTCGTTTCCCACGATGCCCCCGACGCAGGGGCCGGTGTGAACGCCGACCCTGCACGTCACGTCCTCGTCCCCGCCGAGGTCCTGGGACCAGGCCGCGGTGGCGTGAACCATCCTCATCGCGAACTCCAGCACGTCCCTGGCCAAGTGAATCTGCGTGAGCGGGTATCCGCCCTGTCCTGGACGAAGGGAATGCGGCACAAGCTGGCCAGGGGCATCCTGGGCCTCAGAATGCGGCACAAGCCCTCCTGGCCTCAGCAAGCAGGGCGCGTACACCATTCCAGGGCCTCGGCTGGGAATGGCGGTGCATTCGAGGGACCAACCCAAGTAAAGAAGCCACGCGCCAGTCCTTGGCACGGCGCTTAGGCACAGAATCGAGAAATACAACTAAGTGCCCTGCTGGTGTAGGGAACTGCAAGAAGACCCAAAGAACCAAGTTGCGGGAGGCGGAGTAGAAGGAACAAACCCAAACGTAAGCAGGAATCTTCGGAGGTCCCCGTGGATTTCTTGGATCGGCGCTGGAACACCCCCTGGCGGCACCTCTGGCGCTGATTCCGGCGCGCTCCGCACGCCAGGGAGGGGAACCCGGCGCCGATCCTCGAGATTCGCGCGGGCCTCCGACAGCTATGCTTACGCGAATGCTCTTATTCGATGTCCTGCGATGTACGCGTCGCCCACGGTCTCGACCTCTCGAGCAGGGAATCGGCTACAAGTGGTTTACCCCAAACATGATTTGTTCGTCGAATGTACCGAAATGCGTAGAGCCTTCGTAGATCTACGAACATTATACGCACTTTCCGTAGATCCGACGAACCTCTCTTCTTGGGGGTAGATCACTTCTGCAGCCGATCCCCTACTCGAACCTTGTAGACACCATAGCGGTCGGCGAGGCGGTCAAAGCGGCCGAACAGGTCCGAGAGCCACCGGGCCCCCGCAGGGGAGCGCTTCAGGGATCTACTGACCCGGGTCAATCCAGACCCCGGTCAGTCGGGCTTCGCAGGATCCTGCAAGACCCTGCAGGATCCTGCACCCAAACCCGGGTCAGCGGGTCGGCGCACCCCTGGCCCTGCAGGACCCTGCAAGATCCGGCACTCTGACTGACCCTCGCTTGGACTGACCCCCCGCCTCTCGAGCCCCGAGCGCCGCGGCTGCGGGGGGGGGCCGGCCCGTCGGGCACCCCCTGCTGTGCCCCCAGGCGACGGCACCAGAGGGGCCCCGCCGCCCACCCCTCGGGCTGCCCCCAGGCCCACAGAGAACGACGGGGCGACCTGCATAGATTGGCGGCGAGCGAGGGGGGGAAGTGAGAAAGGGCGAGCCTTCTCCGAAGGTTCGGAATTCCCCGGGCCTTCTCAGAAGTTTTCTGGCTCTCCCCGAAGACGCAGAAAGCCTCTCAGGAGGCAGCGCCGCCTCCTGGGAAAGCAGCGCCGCCTCCTGGGAAAGCCTTCTCCCTCTCGCTTCCCCCCCTCGCCCGCCGCCGGATAGAAAATGGGTCAAAAACAATGATCTGCTGCACTCGTGGACGTGTGAGCTGTGTGGAGAAAGCTACGTGGTGCAAGCTATATGGCGGAAGCCATGTGGTGCGAGGAAGCGAGGAATGTCAACGGGCGGAGGAGGAGGAGGAGGAGGAGGAGGAGGAGGAGGAGGAGGAGGAGGAGGAGGAGGAGGAGGAGGAGGAGGAGGAGGAGGAGGAGGAGGAGGAGGAGGAGGAGGAGGAGGAGGAGGAGGAGGAGGAGGAGGAGGAGGAGGAGGAGGAGGAGGAGGCGTCAAGGGGCGGCACCGTGGCGGAACCTCGGCGGAACCCCCAAGCGCAGTGGGCGGCAACGAGGCGCCCACGGCGGCATCGTGGCGAAAACGCTCCAAGTGCGGTGGGCGGCCTCGTGGCGACAACCACTGACTACCTACCAGACCACCCCAACCCAACCCGAAGACCCGAATTTCGGGTTGGGGGGGGTGCGGGTTCCATATGTGTTTTCTCGATGTTCCCCGGACCCCCCCCCCCACTGGAAATGGAGGGCAAATTGAGGCCTTCGGGTTGGGTTGGGGTGGTTTGGTGGGTGGTGAACCACGGCGGACGCTGCAAGCGCGCTGGGCGGCAGCGGGCTGCCCACGGGCGGCCTCGTGGCGACAACCACGGCGGACGCTGCCAGCGCGCTGGGCGGCAGCGGGGTGCCCACGGGCGGCCACGTGGCGAGACCACGGCGGACCCACCCACCCATCCAGATTCTTGGTAAGACAAGCAAGAACCATCAGGTGCAAGCACTGTTTGGGGAAATCCGCCGATCCGGCGTGTGAGTTTCTGGGAGCGCGGGCCTGAGCTCGCTCCAGCTTCGCTCTGCAACGGGGGACGCAAACGACGAAAGAATTGACACGCAAAGCTTCCCCAATGCCGGGACCGCCCCCCATGCACCTTCCTCTCCAGCGCCCCCCCTTCTCTCCCTGCACCCCCCTTTCCTCTGCAATCTCCTCTCCGCCCCCCCCACACACCTCTTCCTGCACCCCCCCCGCCTCTGCGCCTTCTCTTTCCCCCAGCTCCCCCCCCCCCCCCGCACTGCGCCCTGGACAGGAGAGAGGGGGGGGAGGAGGGGGGGGAAAGGAGAGAGGGAGGGGGGGGGCAAGCTAGGTGCGCTCGCGTCATATCTGACATCCTACCCCTCCCTCCCATCCTTTACCATGGCGCAGATCCCCTCTCTACTCGCACAGTCGGATGTCGAGCAGGGCAGTGATCCCGAAAGGGTACGCGATGCATTGTAGAGCACGGCGTGGCATGGCGTAGAAGAGCACCGCGAAGCGCAGTATCAACCTAGCATTGCATTGCATGCCGTGGCATGGCACGGGAAATGACGCCAGCACTGCAGCGGGAGGTCCAATCGAAACGAACGGAAACGCGGAAATGACGCCAGCGCTGCAGCGGGAGCACGATTCGGAACGAGCGGAAGCACGCCGGAATCGGCCTGGGAGGCTTCCCGGGCTGGGAGGCTCTCCGGGCGCTGGGAGTAGAAATTCCGCATTTTCTATTCTTTTATAGTTAAAAAATTATAAGAATGGCCTTTTTTCGGTGCCGCCTCGGAACTCGATTTCCCGGCGCCGGCAGGAACCGGCTCCGCACCCGGCCCGGGCGCCGGCCCGGGCGCCGGCTCGGGCGTCTGGCCTGGGCGCCGGCTCGGGCGCCGCCCGGGCGTCGGAATCGGCCCGGGGGAATCGGCCCTGGAGGCCTCCCGGGCGCCGGAAGCAAAAATTCAGCATTCTCAAAATAAAAAATGTGTATTAGAATGTCCTTTTTGTCGGCGCCGCCTCGGAACTCGATTTTCTGGCGCCGGCCGGAACCGGCTCTGGACCCGGCCCGGGCGCCGGCCCGGGCGCCGGCTCGGGCGTGCAGCCCAGGCGCCGGCGGAAATGAGGCCATCGCTGCAGCGGGAGCACGATTCGGAACGAGCGGGGCCCGAAAATGAGGCTGGCGCCTCAGCGAGAGCAGCATTTTGAAAAAATGCCAGCGAAAACCCAACTCCGGGGAAACCTGTGTGTAAAAATACCATACGCGGGGGGGGGGGGTCGGATACTTTCACGCCGATTGTACAGGAGAGAAGGGGGAGGGGGACAGGAAAGAGGAAGTGGTGGGGGGGGGACAGGAGAGAGGGGAGGGGGGGGGGAGGGTTGGACAGGAGAGAGGGGGGGGGGGGGACAGGAGAGAGGGGGGGGAGGGGGGGGGGAGAGGAAGGGGGGACAGGAGAGAGGAGGGGGGGGACAGGAGAGAGGGGGGGGGGACAGGAGAGAGGGGGGGGGGACAGGAGAGAGGGGGGGGCGACAGCAGAAAGGGGGGGGGACAGGAGAGAGGGGGGGGGAAGGAGAGAGGGGAGGGGGGGTGGACAGGAGAGAGGGGGGGGACAGGCGTCTGAGGCGCCTGATGATGCGGCCAAATCCAGCTGGCCCTGCTACCGAGGCGGTCGCCACCAAGAGGGAGCCGAGTGCTGAGCCAATGCCCAGCCAGGATTTCGAAGGGCGCCCAGCGCGACGAGAAGACGCCAGGGCCCAAAAACCAAAACCGAGAGAGGCGAATCCAGCGGCGGCGACGCCAACCAGCCAAACCAACCGCCACCCCACGCCGCAGCCGCCCGCGGCGAGGCGCGCAGCAGCCCCGCAGGCCTCACGCCTCGGGAGGCGCGCCGCCGCTCGCCTTGTGCACCTCCTGGAGGCGGCTCCGCTGGCAGGCGTAGCCGACTTCATCCCAGTTCAGCCCGAACCTCTCGACTGCTAGCTTCAGGAGCTCGCCATCGCTGACCCCCTCGTTCACGAGGGTGGGAAAAGCTGGAATCTGCGGCGGGCCCTCCAGCTCGGCAGGGCTGCCTGCCTTCTGGTCGACATTCAGCTCCTCAGTCTTCTCCTCCTAAACGGAAACCGACCCATTTTGGCCGAAATGGGTCGGTTTTTCCTCCTCGCACAGCGTGTCACCGAGCAACTCCCTGTAGGGAACGAGGTCGTCGTCCCTGAGCTCCCCGAGGGAGCGCTCCAGGAGCCCAAGGACTCCCTGCACCCCGAAGTCACACTCCTCGAACATGATGCGCAACTCCGCCACCGTCACGCACCCGTTGCCGTCCGCGTCGTACTTCTCCAACGCACGAAGCAGCGCACAACCACCTGCGCCAGAGCCCTGCTGCGTGTGCTGCGCGCTATCTTCGTTGACCTCCTGCTCCATCTCCTCCTGCTGCCGGTCGTCGTCGTAACGCTCCTGCTCGTCCATCGACTCGTCACCGACGTCCTGGCCGAGCTGCTCGAAACGGTTCTCCACCTCCCCTCCGTACTCGACCACGCGGCTCTGCCCGATGCCGAGGTCCTGCTTGAACTTGTAGAAGCCGTCGCACTCGTGGCCTGGGTACTCCAGGTGGCCAGCGTCCGAACCTATGTCGAAGCATTGCACCTCGGCGCCGCCACGCTCCTCAGGATTCGGCCTGAGGTCCTTCTTCCAGTCTTGCCCGATCACGTTCAAGGCTGGCGGCCGTGGATCCTTCGCTCCGCGAACCCGCGCACGATGGTGGGCACACCCTGCTGAATGCGCATCTTGGCCTCGAACAGCTTCCTCGCCAGCGCCCTCCGCATGGAGGCCTTCTCCAGCGATGTGACCTGCTCCTCCTCCAGCGCCGTCTGCTTGCGCTTCTTCTCCTTCTTGGCCAGCTGGACCCGCCCCTTGAACGCCACGTACTTCCTGAGGCGACGGCTGAGCCTTGGCACGCGCTCCGTCTCCTGCTTGTTGTTGGCCCTCTGCCTTGCCAACTCCGAGGGTCTCCTGGCTGGGGATCCCAGGTCCCGAACCTTCTGCGTCGACTCCTCCACCACCCGCTGGTAGGCCTGCGACCTTGGCCGCGCCCCAGCCTGCCGCAGGAAGGCTGCCTCCTTCGCCGCCCCGAGGACGTACGAGGCAGCACCCCTCTGGGCCAGCAGCGTCCCGGCCAGGCCGTGCCCAAGCTTCAGCGCGTCCTGGATGCTCCTCACCGTGGGGCTCGTTGCCCATGCCGGCGTCGCCATGCCCGCCTCGGACACC